CAAACTACTCAAAATTTCTGCTACCAGTTCTCCAGAACCTGTCAGAACCTGCTGGATTTCACCCCTGGATCTGGCCCATGGGGCTGCCCTGGAAACACCAAAGGACCAGCCCGCAGTGCCTCTGCCAGTGAAAATGGAGCTCGTGAGGGCCATGTGTGGCCCTCCCGGGCTCCATTTTCACTGGCAGAAGGTTGCAGGAAGCCATCCCAGCTGAAAATGGAGCTCATGAGCCCATTTTTGCTGGCAGAGGGTTGCAGGAGGCCATTGCAGCCAAAAACAGAGCTTGGGAGCCCGTTTTCACTGGCAGAGCGCTCGGGCCACCACAGGTGACCCCTGACACGAGTGACATCATGCTGGTCATGCCCGCCCTGGCCACGCCCCTCCAGCCCCCAAGGTCAAACACAACCCTGATGCTGCTCTCAATGAAATCGAGTTTGACACCCCTGCTCTAGATGACACATGATCATCTAGGCTCTGTCTGAAGACCTCTGCCAAAGGAGAGCTCACCACTTCATGCGGCAGCCTCTTGCAATGACTACAGCTCATAGTGTCCCAATGTCTAGTAGTCTGAACCTCCATCTTTGTAATTTTAATCTATTGCTTCCGGTATATAGCAACAACAATAAAGCATTGAATGAACTTTACAAATATTGGGAATAATTCATTTCAATATTTGTAAAGGAGTTAGATCATGAAGGGGATTTAAGGACTAAATAGAGACATGTGTAAGCTTTCAATCATCAAACACACAAAACATGTAATTAAAGATGTTGCTTAGAAGAAAAAAGGACATATATTTATTTATTTATTATATTTATATTTATTATATTTATATTTATTATATTTATATTATATTATATATCAGAAGTGTTAGGAAAATTCAGTGGTTTGGGCTACCTTTTTGCTGTTCAGAAGGGGGAGCAAAATTACTTGCATTTGTTGATCCCTATTAGAAAGTCTTGCTTCATTCTGCTGTAAAAAAAGTAAGGCAAGTGCTCTTAAGCAGAGTATGATTAAAATGGGTTCGCAGATGTGGGTGTGGTTTGAGTAAGCTAATATTTGCAAATGAAAATCATTTATGGTTATAGAGGACAGGCCTTTGCGGTTCACAGAATGATTGATTATATATCTGCAGCTGGAGATTGAAAGGAGCCACAGCTGTAGCAGTAGCAACCTTTCGCTATTGTGTGAGAACAACACTAAACAACAGCTCATGCCACTAATTACTGCTAAAGCCTCATGTTCTGGCGTCTTTGTGATGTTAACAGCACTGGGCTTTCAAAAACAAAGAGATGCTTTGGCTTTGAAACAGTCACATTCCTTTAAGCGAAAAAGTATCAGTCAACTTCGGCCGCAGGCAAGGATAGGAAGGATGAGGGGGAGTTTCTTCTCTGATACCAGTTCAGAATCCGGAAGTACATTTTGCTATGCGCAAGACAGCTGCTCCATGAGTGATCTGGTTTGATAAAGTCCATCAGAAATAAAAGCCACAGTTATGGGCAGACACATTGGGCACTCCGGAAATACAGGTAGTCCTCGACTTACAACAGTTCATTTAGTGACCGTTCAAACTTACAACAGCATTGAAAAAGGGACTTAAATGACACATTTATGACCGATGAAGCATCCCCATGGTCACATGATCAAAATTCAGAGGTTTGGCAACTGGGTCATATTTATGACGGATCATGTGTTCCCCTTTTGTGGCCTTCTGGCAAGCAAAGTCAATGGAGAAGCCAGATTCACTTAACAACCGTGTTGCTAACTGAAAAATTTCAGTGTTTCACTTAACAAATGTGGAAAGAAAGGTGGTCAAAGGTGGCAAAATGCACTTAACAAATGTTTCACTTAGCGACATAAATTTGGGGTTCAGTTGTGGTTGTAACTCGAAGACTACCTGTACTGTAAACGAAATTAGATCAACCAACCAATGCAAGGTTTTTCCTTTCGATGCACTGCTTTTCATGGTGGCAAATGAACTGTCATTAAATATTTCACAAGACCTTAATTAAAATTGTTTAGGGTATGTACCAAGGAATCGCCTGCTTTTCTTAAAAGCCATCTGCCTATAATATCTGATGAGGAGAGTTTTACTTGATGAAAAGCACTCCAGAGTCTAAGTAATTTCACTAAAACTTGTTAAGTGTTTTAAACAATTGTTTATTGCATGTTGACCAGAGGTGATTGATTGGTTGGTTGGTTGATTGATTGATTGATTGATTGATTGATTGATTGACAGACAACCAGAAAGCCAAACAGACAAACTTACCCAAACTTCTATCAATACCCTATAACCAGTGGTGGGATTCAAATAATTTAACAACCGGCTGAGTGGGAGTGGCCATGGTGTGTGACAGGCAGCACTCGGCCTCCTGCACCCCCCTGCAAGCAAAACTGGGCCATGGTGGGTCCGCGTTGCACCCCCCGCACCCCATTTTGGGCCTAGTAGACCTCCCTGCAGCCCCCTGGGAGCAAAAACAGAATGTGTGTGGACTTCTGGAAGGGGTGGGGCCAGCCAGCAATTTAATAACTGGTTCGGCCGAAGTGGTGCAAACCGGTTGAATCCCACCACTGCCTATAACCCTATCAATATAATAGCATTGGGGCTGGAAAGCAGATCTCTGAGAAATCCTGAGCAAATCTTCAAAAACAGAAAGGTACAGGTTTGCAAGATTGTATTTTAAATGAACTCCAATTAATCCTATAGCAGTAATATGTCAGGACTAATTTTTGGTGGATTATATTGATGAGCAAGGCACTGGCATACCATAAACCTCTAAGTTATGATATAGTTTCCCTTGCAGGCCTCCCTACCATCATCTACAAAGATGTTTTGCATTTTCCCGCTCCATAAAATTCCAAGGCTATAATTCCCGGTTGACTGGCAGGAAGAAAAGAAACTCTGTTCCAAACTTTCATTAAGGCATTTTGTGAGTGTGTATGTTTTAAAACCATCAAATGCTTCTGGGGTGAACTAAAAGCTAAAACAGAAACTCCAGAGACCTGCAAACTGTAGCTCACAAACCACATTCAGTCTCAATCCCTTTTTGGCCCCACCAGTATCTTTAGATTACAAAATCTGTGGGCAAAATAACTGATTTGGGATGCAGGTGGTTCTTCCCCCTCCCCTTTATTTTCCAAAATATGAGCTAGAGAAGGCTCCTGGGAAGGAAGGGGGTAAATTACCTTTATTCCCACCCTTGAAATGTACCTTAAAAAAAAACACACCCTCAAATCTAGTTCCCAGCTGTTGGCAGCAAAATGACAGTACAGTATTCCCACTGTGTAATTTTGTGGAAGTTCAAATTGGGAATAGGAGCAGTTTGCTTCTTTTTTATTCCCACATTTAATCCCATGCCAAAAACAAAAATGTGGGGGGGGAGGGATTCTTCCACACTCCTTCTGATAAAGAGGCTATATCTGGGCCTCAACCTTATGCAAATTGTCTGGTTTTAAGACTTGATCACCTCCAACATCTTCAAATGTCTGCCTGCCATCTTAGCCTCAAAATATGTGAGAGACACAGTTCCCATCTTTCTTTTCTGGTGAACTGAAAGGGGAGGGGAGGGGAGAGGAGGGGAAATGAAATAAATTTGATAGTAGCACCTCCTGGCCCTACAGTGTTTAAAAGAAAAATGGGGAAAGAAGCACAAATACACCCCTTTGGGAGATAAACCCATCTCAGAAAAAACTAGCTAGAATCGTACCTTATTAATTCCTTATTATCATGCAAAAACATTCACTGGTGGAAGAGATAAAATTAGAGAGCTGTTCAAATCATAGTTTGCAACATAAAAGCATCTCCCATAAAAAAAAAAACATAAAAGATAATATAAGGCTTTGGGTAGATCTACGAGATGAATTTGGTCTATTCATAATTAGAAGAAATTCTGCTGTCAAGAAATTCAAGCAACATAAAACAAACATGAACTGAATTTGTAAAGCAGAAGAAATAAATCAGACATAAAATAGTTTCAGTAGAAGAAATTAAACTGAAAATGTATAATCTTTTTGCTAGAATGATTACAGGTAGTTCTTAACTTATGAGTGGTCACTTAACATTCTTTCAAAGTTACAACTCATCTGAAAAAGGGGACTTACGAGCCAGATTCAAAGTTCTGATCGTTAGATCCCGTCTGTAGCCGCGTGACTGAACTTTAAGTGCTCAGCAATATGGCCACACTTGCAGCTTCCTGCAGTCACATGACTGAGTTTTACAATGGTTTTGCTGAAAACTAGCACTTTTGTTTCTCAGCAAAAATGCACCTATCCATTGGTTCACTTAATGACCACTGCAAAAAAAAAAAGTTGTAAAATCAAGCCAGTCACATGATTGACCCATGTGATGTTTATAAAGATTATTCAGTGCAAATAGAAATATATATTATTTCAGCAGCAAGGAAGATGAAGCAGTAATGGTTAAATTGATTGTTCTATTCAAACGGGAGAATATATTTATGTTGTTTATTTGGATATCACTTCTGGATTTTGGGCTTGTGGTTAAAAAAAATGAAACCTTGATTTTCGCTTTGCTGATTAGATAGATTTGTTGTTATAGAAATGGTTAGTTATATTCTAATGTGTAAAAGTAAGGAGTTGAGGTTGTAATGTTGTTATCTTTTACTATGCTAAAAAGAGTTGGAAGTCAATGCCTTTTTCTTTCTTCCCTTGTACCTCATATTTTCTTTCCCCTTTTCTTTTTTCTTCCCTTAATTTCCTATTTTTATTTTTCTTTACAGTTTATACATTGATAAACAATAAAAGTTATATATAAAAACATGATTGACCCATACAACTGGAAAAGGTGGTCTCCATGATAGCATCCATCAAGGACTATTTTCTAGAATGACCTAATGCCTAAAACAAAAGTCCATTAGGATGGCACAAGAGAATACAATTATGAAAGCTGTGTTGGAGTATCATGATGCAAGGCCAACCCTTTTGTACATGCATTGTGATGTCACACACATGTATGGAAGGGACAGAGTTATCATGTTTTATCATGTTAATGAAAGCAGTAAAATCCTGCAGACCTCCATGCTAATGTCCCTTGCTTGCTTTACCAGACTTTTTCATGCTCCTTAGAGATCTTTCATTGATCAGGGACTCAGGAGAACATTATGCTCCTTCTCCTAGCTCTGTACTTTAGTTTCTACCTAAAGTTCAAAATATTCTGTCTAGTGAAATGTGAAGGATTTGTGGATGATCTCTAAACCTGTGTGATTCCAAGCCAAACCTCATTTAGGGAGATCCAGCCTGAGACAAAGTTATAAGTATATATGTATGTATTATGCTGTCCATCTCTATCATTTTTGTGATTCCTGATGACATCACCCCTCAACAAAGCTATCTCTGAATTTTGCAACATCTTATCAGGTCCTTTTTGGCAGAAATGCAAACATCAGAAAAACTAAATATCCAGCAGATTTTGAATTAAAATTGATGTCCTAGCTTGCAAATTTCATAGCATGGAGCAGCTCTGCAACGAAAGCTGGAATTAGGTTAGTGTTATGGGGATCCGCAAGACTTATTGTGTTTCTCTGAAAATAAGACCCTGTCTTATATTTTTTTGAACCCTGAAATAAGCGCTTAGCCTTATTGCCATGCACTCAAAAGCCCGATTGGGCTTATTATCAGGGGATGTCTTATTTTGGGGGAAACTGTATAAATCTTTTTCCTAGCAGTATTTCTTTTCACGTTGGGCATTATATAAAATGGTTCAGCTTGCTTCAGTTTGGTTTGATACATGTTAAAATCTATAAAAGCAAAAGGCAGAACTAGTTTTGTCATTGAAAACCAATTTTATATTAGAGATTTCCATTTCTCTGATCAACCTCCTACCTTTCAAATTAAAGCCAGAAAATATTATGCCCTGTTATATGCTTGTTTCTCCCTGTTACGAGTTTTCCGTGCAATGTGACAGGTCACTGCAAAATTAGCAAACATCACAACAAAGATGAAAGTAAGTATGTAAGTAACCTATATTTGCATATAAAGGGATGTGCTATAAATTATGATCATTATCCATTTTTTTCCCCTGTAAAGAAAGATCTGCACTGGCAGCGCATTTGTCATGACGAAAGCAATATGCAAATGCTGCCTAATTAGGGTCCCCTGAGACCTATTTCAAGAAAGTAAACAGTAGCACTTGGAACTGCTGTAACACTAAGGAGTAATTTCGGGCCTGTTTAAACTAACAGAAACATCATAATTAGCTTCAGTGGCCTGTGGATCAGGTTTGAAGGATTCCCATATGACAGGCGCACTTTTCAAAGAAATTGGGATAAAAGGAAGGGCTGTCCCTTTAATGTCAAAGACCAACATCTGCAAGGCCATTTGCAAAGGCTCCAGATTGCTCCCAACGTGCAGCAATCCAAGGCAGTGTCTTCGTAGCTTACTAAAGTCACGTCAAGCATTTTTTTTAATACAGGCAATTATCTCCGAAAACTTTGGCCTGCTTTAGAGAACGTTTCTAGCCTGACTTCTCCGCTCATCAAAATGCTCTGCAGTGTATTTGATGTGGAAGACAGTAGGACAATCAAAGCTTTGCAGGAACCCTGTGTTTGAAAATAAGGAAATTCACTGTTAGAAGCAATGCTCTGTCAAAATCTGTCTTGTAGTTTCTCCAAAAAAAAAAAATCTTTTGTGTTACAAAAGGGGTTTCTAGTTTTGTTTTGTTTTGTTTGTTTTATTCTCAGGATGTTTGAGGAATTCTAACTCAAAAATGTCAAAAAACCTGTTTTTTTAACTTATTTTGTAAAGGATGCTACTGTTGTTAGTTTCTGTTACAATTCTATTATTCCATCATTCTGAAGTATCTCTGGCTGCTCATATTTTGAAGATAAATAGCATTCCTGGGAAAACTTTCCCCTTTAATTAATGGGTTATAAGTTATGGAGGCTATCTTAGCCACCAAACAGATCACTATACCATGAAAGGAAACAGTTTACAAATACCCCTTGGCCACTATGTAGCTAAATATCCCACTTCATCCATGAGAATACATCAAAATCGTTTTTGAAACGAAATGTTTTTGTACAGAAATTATCTTTCTTCAAATAGAAGGCGGAATGTCCAAATGTCACATTTCTTTTGCAGTCCAGGCCCAAATAGACATGCACTGCAGTGCCCACTGATGGCGGGGGGGAGAGGGGCTGGGGGAGAGGGGCTGCAGCAAACTAAAGTGGCCAATGGGAGCAGAGCAGATCTGAGCCGTGGACCACCTCATCAGTGAAGCATGCTAGATCAGGTCCATGCCTGAAATTGTAGTAGAAAAATGGAATATCTACTTTAAATTTGGAACAGTTGCCTTAACTGTGGTCTGGAGATGAGATACAAAGGCAATGTCACTAGGATATGTTGTATAAAAATGCTTTTCAGGTTATGTCAGGGGTGCTATTCTGACAGGTTCTGGAGAACCGGTAGCGGAAATTTTGAGTAGTTCGGAGAATCGGCAAATACCACCTCTGGCTGGCCCCAGAGTGGGGTGGGAATGGATATTTTGCAATATCCTTCCCCCAGGAGTAGGGAGGGAAAGGAGATTTTGCAGTATCCTTCCCCCGCTACGCCCACCAAGACACGCCCACCAAGCCACACCAGACCCACCAAGACACGCCCACAGAATCGGTAGTAAATAAATTTGAATTCCACCACTGGGTTATGTCTATGTCAGAGGGAAGGGAGATGTAACATCAAGCTTTTGATTGATGATTCTGCCTGAGTATTTTGAGTGACTAGTTTGAAGGGGTGCTTCACTCCCTAAAACACCGCTCCAAAAGATACTCACAATTTTGAGACATATACAATTCAGCTGCAACTATTGGAAAACCACATTTTTATTTATGGTTTGTTTATTAAGTAGTCTTGTAAGGGCACCCAATTCAAACAACATGACTCTGAATGGCACCTAATAACCAAAAAGAAATAATAAACTCATAACTTCGAAACATATGCAATATACAAATATAAGATACAAAACATGAAATGGTAACCCAAAGAGGATTCCACCTAACTGGTCCCTAATGCCTGGGAGAAAATCCAAATCTTAATGGCTTTCCAAAAGCTGACAAGAATTGGGAGCCATTGTATATTGGGTGTGGGAAAGAGATTGTTCAGAGATAGCCACAGAAAAGGCACATTTCTTAGGTGCCATAAAATAACCAGGTATAAAAGAAGAAACCTGGAGCATGCTCTCCAAATGGGAGTGTGTGGGATGGGTTCTTGGGAAAAGGGAGCCCCCTGGTCCTATGCCACATCTTTTGAATGTCAGATTGATGCAGGGGTGAAATGCTCCCGGTTCGGACCAGATCGCCTGATCCGGTAGCGATGGCGGCAGGTGGTTCAGAGAACTGGTAGCAAAAATCCCTGCCCCCCCAACTATGCCCAGCTGAGCCGCACGATCATCAGAGGCTTTTTTTTTTTTTACTTTTAAAAGCATTTTTTCTACAACCTCTTCCACCGAAAAAATGCTTTTAAAGTTTTTTTTTAAAAAGCCTCTGATGATCGCGCGGCTCAGCTGGGATCGTCAGAGGCTTTTCAAAGCATTTTTTTCTGCAACCTCTTGCAACCGAAGAGGTTGTAGAAAAAATGCTTTGAAAAGTTAAAAAAAAAAAAAGTTGGCCTCGCCCACCCAGTCATATTACCCACCCACCCCAACCAAGCCACGTCCACAGAACCGGTAGTAACAAATTTTACATTTCACCCTTGGATTGATGTGTAAACCTATGGGAGATGGCAGCATGATTCATTTTTCATTGCATGTTGTTCATAAAATTTGAGAAGGATGTTACATTTCTAAAATATCTCTTGACTTTAATAGGGCACTTTAGTTGAGGATCTTTAGTTGGCAAACTTGCCTGATTCCTAAATGTGCCTCTTTACTAACACTATAGTATACACAGTATACAAACCAGTGATGAAATCCAAATTTTTTTACTACCGGTTCTGTGGGCATGGCTTGGTGGGCGTGGTGTGGCTTGGTGGGTGTGGCTTGGTGGGGGGGCAGGGGAAGGATATTGCAAAATCTCCATTCTCACCCCACTCTGGGGCCAGCCTAAGGTGGCATTTGCCGGTTCTCTGAACTATTCAAAATTTCCGCTGCCGGTTCTCTGAACTATTCAAAATTTCCACTGCCGGTTCTCTGAACTGCTCAAAATTTCCACTACCGGTTCTCCAGAACCTGTCAGAACCTGCTGGATTTCACCCCTGATACAAACCTTTAGTATTTATGGCTTACTTGGGGAAAGAAAAGAAATGGGATAATTAGAAGAAACAAAAAAGAAATCAACAACTTCTTAGAAAACAAGGACATTTCAACAAAACATAATATTGCACTTCCAATGCAGACAGTTCATAAGTGCAAAGCAAAAATCTTTATTAAAATCTAGAATTGTATTCCTTCCTGTAAGAGTATTGCAACCATCCCTATCAGTTCACCTACAAAATCCAGAGGATTAAACTTCCAAAACTGCAGTGATCTGATGTAGGTATCTTTCTTTGAAATACTGTACCTTTTTACAATTATTTATCTTCTTCGATCCTTTCAGGGCCATTGCACTTTCCCAAGCAGTTTGTAGTGACAATTTCAAAATCCCTTCTTTAAAAAAAAAAAAATCATGTTTCTTTAGCAAATGGCAGTAGATCTTTTACTGTTTCAGAGCTTTGTTCCTGTTCTTTCTCTTAGACTCTCTGTCTCCCTCTACCTCCTCCCCCCCCCCCCCCCCCCCACCCCCACTTCCCTTCCAATCTCACATTTGCATCTAGCAGACATTTTGGAGAGGCTAGTAAATATCAAGCAAATGGTTTTAAAATTATGTGTCCTTCTAATTATGGGGTGTGCATGGCTCTCCAGCTCAACCGCCATGTGCACACCCATATGCTAGCATTTTGCAAAAACACAAGCATGATTAAGGATTGACGTTGCTACTGAACGTTCCACTCTTTTGTCACATGCAACATCTTTAGATCAAGTCCTATGTGTTTGCTAAATGAACACATGCACGCACACACACACACACACACACACACACACAGAGAGAGAGAGAGAGAGAGAGAGAGAGAGAGAGAGAGAGAGAGAGAGAGCTGCAAATACCATGACAGACAGTTGACTAATATAAGCTTGAAACATAAAAGTTTTGCAGCTATCTGATGAAGGGGACAAGGAAGATGATCCTTGTCTCCCTGCTGGAAGAATATGACAAAAGAGAGCATACTGCAAATAAGTCCAGAGAATAACAGATTTCTTCATTTGCACTAGAAAATGGACAAAGTTGAAAGGGAAATTATTGTTGGCATGATGTCAACGGGTCCCCAGCTTTGCCGAAACTCAAGGGAAAGATGCAAACAAAAGTAATGCAATTGCATTACTTTTTCTTTCTACCAACAGTGGTTTTAAAAAAAACACCATAATACAAGTGCTTGAATATCCTTGGTCCTGCCAGTTAATGATGATTTGTTTCTACCAATAAAAAATTAAAAGCTTTTGATATGAGATGGGGAAACAGTCCATTAAAATGCCACAGGATGGAAACTACCGTAATATTTAGCTTACAAAAATGACACAAAGCTTAACCATTATATCCTATTTTTACTATCCCAAAAGAAAAAGCTTGGAGCAGATACGGCAGTTCCAGACATGCATTAATAATCCTCCCAGCTAGTAGGGTTTTTGTCTTGTGTGGCAATAAAGGAAACATATAATTGAATCAAAAGCAGTGGTGGGTTCCTCCCGGTTCAGTCCGGTTCAGCCAAGCCGGTAGCGGTGACGATATGATGTCACCGAACCGGTTCTCCCCCCCCCCGCCCTCCCACGTTATTCTTACCTTTTATTTGGTCCCACCCCCAATCTATTGCTGCCTCCTGAGTCCCAGCTGATGACTAGAGGGAAAAAAACGGTTTAAACTCTTGCCGCGGGGCTTCAAAGGGCCGCCCTACAGCTGATCTGTGTTTAAAAAAAACAAATGAGTTGGGTCGTAAGTGCGAGGACTGGTCGTAAGTGCGAGGACCTTCCAGAAATGACTCTGACCAGCTAGCCACGCCCACCTAGTCACATGACCTCCAAGCCACACCCACAGAACCAGTAGTAAAAAAATTTAGAACCCACCCCTGATCAAAAGTGATGGGATGGATACATGCCAGAGCTATATGTAGCAATAGCAATAGCACTTATATACCACTTTATGATGCTTTACAGCCCTCTCTAAGTGGTTTACAGAGTCAGCATATTGCCCCCAACAATCTGAGCCCTCATTTTACTCACCTCAGAAGGATGGAAGGCTGAGTCAACCTTGAGCCGGTTAGGATCAAACTGCTGGCAGTCAGTAGAGTTAGCTTGCAATACTGCATTCTAACCACTGCGCCATCATGGCTCCTGGACATCAGAATATGCAACAAATTTTGCTGTAGTTCCTATGAAAGGTATTGAAGAAAGCCTTCATCACCTAGTTTACAACATGTTGCCTTTCATGGCAATATTGTTGTTCTTCGGATTAATCTGTTTCACAGAAAGTTCTTCAGTTCTTGGCAGATTTCCCAAATGGATGCTGTCAAGATGTGTTGGACAGCACTCATATGTAGTGCCTGGAGGATATTGGAATGTCGATGAGATTTTAATACTAATCCAAATCCAAACTGAATAGGTTTAGATAAATATTGGATGTACCCAAACTGAAGCAACCCAAATCTAAATCTAATCTTGCATAGAAACTCCATGCAATCGTGTCCCACCCCCACCATTCCAAATCCAACCCCTCCCCCCCAAAAAAGTGTACAAGTTCAGGTAGTCCTCAATTTATGACCACAATTTTCTGTTTTTTAGTGAGACATTTGTTAAGTGAGTTTTACCCCATTTTGCGACCTTTCTTGCCACCGTTGTTAAGTGAATAGCTGCAGCTGATAAGTTAGTAACCCGGTTGTTAAGTGAATCTCGCTTCCCCATTGGCTTTGTTCGTCAAAAGGACCTTTTATTATTTATTATTTAGACTTCTGTACCGCTTCATAGTGCTTTACAGCCCTCTCTAAGCGGTTTACAAAGTTAGCATATAGCATATTGCATTAGCATTAGCATATTGCCCCCAACAATCTGGGTCCTCATTTTACCCACCTCAGAAGGATGGAAGGCTGAGTCAACCTTGAGCCGGTGAGATTTGATCTGCTGATCTGCTGAACTAGCAGTCAGCTGAAGTAGCTGCAGTACTGCACTCTAACCACTGCGCCACCTCAGCTCTTGGGACACAGCAATGATCATAAATATGAACCAGTTGCCAAGCATCTGAATTTTGATGGGGATGCTGCAAAAGTTGTAACTGGAAAACGATCATAAGTCCCATTTTTCAATGCCATTGTAACTTTGAACGGTCACTAAATGAACTGTTGTAAATCGAGGACTACCTGTAAAGTGTCCAATCTCTTTTGTGTCTGTGGCTGTGGCTGTGGCTGTGGTGTGCCCAGCAGCCCACCAAGAGGAGACTGTCCCAGAACAGAACATCTGAGCTCAACCCAATGCTCTTCCAGCGTAGCAACTGGATTGTCTTCTTGGGAAGTTTTATTTTGGGGAAATAAGAAAAGAATGCCACAGAAAACAAACTTCAGACTGCCTCCAGTTTATATACATGTCCTATTTAAACATGGTGGCAACTTCATGCCATGACAAACAGGACATCTGAATGAGCTTTACCACATATACTTTTTTAGACAAATAACCCTCACCTATTGAATGAAGAAGTTCAAAATATACTTCTAATTGTTCCTATCTAGCTGTAATTATCCATTAAGGAAACGGAGCACCAGTTTTGAACACCGATGGAAGGTCAGCATTACAGAGTTTTTCCCTTAGCTATCATGCCCTTAACTCTTTTGCACTCATCTTTAATAATTTAATAATAATAAGCTGACTTTGTATAAAAAAGAACACCGCTTAGTTGGGGCCGAAAGCCCTACTAAGCAGGTATATACAAAAGTATGAAGGCTATTGCTTAACGCATTGTAAGCCGCCTTGAGTCTCCTGAAAAGGGCAGCATATAAATTGAACCAATAAATAAATAAATAAATAAATTTGTTTTGTAATTGTCCTTATCCACCATGCTAGACATTAATCTATATTGTTAAAAGTATTTTCTGTGGCATGATGAATGCCTAAAAATTTGGTTTGAAGTTATCACCAGATATCGTATTTGTTTCCATCTCATGGCATGAGAGGTTGAGAGGTTCTATCAAGGTACACCTTTGTCAGGCTGTGCTTAGGGTAGGGGTTAGGGTTAGCATGCTGGCTGAGGAATTCTGGGACTTGTAGTCCACAAGTCTTAAATTTGCCAAGGTTGGACACCCCGGTTTAAGGCATCAGTTAGCTTCAATCCAGTCCTGTTCACATCACACACAAAAGTAAGTCTTTTCTCTAACAAAACACACTGCCACTTTGTTTTCTCTCTCTCTCCATCCAGAATATTTTGCATTCTTCCTTTGTCATTGGGCAAATACGCTTGTTTATGAGACACGACGTGTATCTGTTTATTGGAGAGAGGGTCATAGGTACAGTGTTTATATTAGGTGCATTGTTCCGTGTGATAATAGCATAATTTTGTTCATTGTTTAAAACCCACATCTCGGTTAGTGAATGATTATTTACGACAAGTGAAGAGAGCAGTTCAATAATGAAATAAGCTATCAGATGATCTATCCCATCAAATAACAAAATAAGCTACTGAGTAGGAAAAGTGCAGCTTGATAATAATTACAGGTTCTATGCTTTCAGCCTTCTCTGCAGTTTTATTTCAGTCTTGAGTCTAGCAACCATCCTTTCCAGCACCCATCACAATTCTTCCTAGGTATCTTTTTTTTTTTCCTTTTCCAAGGAAAAGGCATGCAAAGAATTCATCTGAAGTTTCAAAGTTGACCTGAATCATCTAGGACCGTGATGGTGAACCTATGGCACGCGTGCCACAGGTGGCACACGGAGCCATATCTGTGAGCACATGAGCATTGCCCTAGGTCAGCTCCAGCATGCATGCGCATGCCGGTCAGCTGATTTTTGGGCTTTCCGGGCCCACCGGAAGTCAGGAAATTGGCTGTTTCCAGCCTCCGGAGGGCCTCCAGGCGGGTGGGGAAGGCTGTTTTTGCCCTCCCCAGGCTCCAAAAAAACCTCTGGAGCCTGGGGAGGGCGGAAAACAGTCCCACCGGGCCCACCGGTAACCTTTTTGCCGTTGTGTGCCAAAAGCAGGGGAAGCAAGAGGGGGTCATGTACACATGCACAGGGGGGGCGGGGTGTGGGGGGCATTGAATTATGAGTGTGGGCACACACACACACGTGACGCCCCTGCACTCCCCCCACTTTTGGCACACGACGGCGAAAAGGTTAACCATTACTGATCTAGGATATAGACTGCAATTCTGGCTGGCTCATTGGGGAAGGCTATTGGATAGAGAATTTCTCACCAAATGATGCTCCGGAATTTAGGAAACAGATTTAAATGGATGACATTCCAGAATTGGAATGAGGAACTGGTGAGTCATCTGTCCCACCTTATCCAAAGTCTAGTTTTCCCAAAGTCTTTAACTCTGCCTGCAGATGGAATTAGTGGAGAGGCACAATAAACTTACAGCTTCCCCCCAAGGACCCCTGCTTGAGATAGTTGTTTCCAGTGGTGAAATTCAATTTTTTTTTACTACCGGTCCTGTGGGCGTGGCTTGGTGGGCGTGATGTGGCTTGGTGAGCGTGGCTTGGTGGGCGTGGCAGGGGAAGGATACTGCAAAATCCCCATTCCCTCCCCACTCCTGGGGGAAGGATATTGCAAAATATCCATTCCCACCCCACTCTGGGGCCAGCCAGAGGTGGTATTTGCCGGTTCTCCAAACTACTCAAAATTTCTGCTACCGGTTCTCTAGAACCTGTCAGAACCTGCTGGATTTCACTCCTGGTTGTTTCCCAAAGCCTTTAATTCTTATACTCTGAATCTCTCAAGGCTAAAATACGTAAGTTATATTTCATGTTGCTTCATTTCCAGCTCTTATTGACTATCGTGAAAAGATAGTGTCTCCTTCAAGCCAAATTCAGTTCCTATAACATCCATGGAAGTGGTCTATCATTATTTTTTTCCATGCTTTTTAATTTTATTGTCTAATCCTGCACCTAACACTTCTGAATAGTTTCCCATCTGAGTACAGTGCCTACAGGTAGTCCTCAACTTAACAGCTATTCATTAAGCAACCATTTGAAGTTATGATGATGCTCACAACAGACACATGGTCGCAATCCAGGCACTTGCTGACCAGCTTTGACTTACAACAGTTTCAGCATCCTGCAGTCATATGATCACCATCTGTGACCATCCCAGCCAGCTTCTACAAGCAAAGTTAATGGACTGGGGAAGCTGCCAGGAGACCACAAGACCCGGTCACATCATGTCTCACTTAATAACTGTAGGTGATTTGCTTGAGGACCATGGCAAAAAGGTTGTAAAATTGGGATGGTCGTGTGATGCCTCACTTAACGACTGCACCACATAATGAATTTTCCAGTTCCTATTGTGGTTGTAAATTGAGGGTTACCTATATCAAATCTAACTCTGCTTAGATTTTGAAAGTCAAACAAACTTAGCTAGACAACATTACTCTAATTAATTTAAACTCATTCAGAGCTGAATTATTCTTCATGGCATGATAGATGCCTAATCTTCCCAGGCCTTTAAAATATAAATTTGCATGAAAATGAGTTGTTTCCAAACAAATACACTGAAGGATTAGTTATATCTGGAATGAACTGCCATGTCTTCACTTTTTTAAAAAAAGGTAAATTGGGGCACTATTATTTAAAACATCTCTATATCTCTGTCTCTGTCTCTGTCTCTATCATCTGTCTATCTATCTATCTTTCTATCGCTCTTTCTATCTATCTATCTATTTATCTATCTATCTATCTCTATCTACCTACCTACCTACCTACCTATCTCTATCTATCTACTACCTACCTACCTACCTATCTATCCATCGCCTACTTCCATTCCTAAGCTTTGAAATCTGTATGTCACATCTGGGACTGAGTTTTTCTTCCGTTGTTGCTGATTTTTCATTTTGGAACCTTATCATTGTGTTTATACTTAAATTGTTTTCATATCTACGCCACCAAGAGCCTTGGTGGTGTAGCAGACTAAAGTGCTGTTAAGTAGCACCAGCTGCCTGCAATTACTGCAAGTTCAAATCTCACCAAGCTCAAGGTTGACTCAGCCTTCCATCCTTTCGAGGTAGGTAAAATGAGGACCCGGTTGGTGGGGACAATAAGCTGACTTTGTATCAAAAAAAACACTGCTTAGGGAGGGCCGAAAGCCCTACTAAGCAGGTATATAGAAAAGTATGAAGGCTATTGCTTAACGCATTGTAAGCCACCCTGAGTCTCCGGAGAAGGGCGGCATATAAATCGAACTAATAAATAAATAAATAAATATCTGTGCCTAAGGTACCTAGAGACATGTTGTTTTGCGGCAATTTACAGAGAAAGATGGAATGAGACACATAATTGTCGTTTTTAAGAGTAGCATCATATTTCTTATAGCAGCAGTGGCTACATGAAAAACAACAAAACTCTTATTTCAACTTCCCACATACTCTAAAACTCACACTGGCTTTGCTGCTTATAGCATGTCTCAAAAGTACCTTGTTGGTATTTTGTTTTTAAATTTGTTTCTTTGACTCTGTGTTAATTCCTGGGAACTGCCTAGATTAGTCCCTGCAATTTTCTTAGTAAGGATTTGTGGAAATGATTTGCCCTTGCTTGCTGTTTAGGATTAAGAGAGAGAGAATGACCCAGGTCACTCAGCTTTGGTCTCCAGGCAGGACTAAAACTCATAGTCTCCTGGTTTTTATCCTGATGCCTTAACCACTGCTCCAATAACAATAGCACTTAGACCTATGTACCGCTTCACAGTGCTTTACAGCCCTCTCTAAAAGGTTTACAGAGTCACCATATTGCCCCCAACAATCTGGGTCCTCATTTTACCGACCTCGGAAGGATGGAAGGCTGAGTCAACTTTGAGCCAGTGAGAATTGAACTGCAGAATTATCCTGCAATACTGCATTCTAACCACTGTGCCACCATAGCTCATAACCTAGTAAGGCAACAAGACAGAACTTGGATGGGTTCCAGTGGTGAAATCCAGCCAAATTTATCCGGCTTGCACGAACCGGTAGCACTGGTGGCGGGAGGCTCCGCCCACCTGCCGGGACATCATTATGTCCCGTTTTTGACCCTCTGCACATGCGCATGTACAGAAGAGGCACGCGCGCTCCCATTCCCGAACTGATAGCGAAGGTAAGTGGATTTCACTGCTGATGTGTTCCCAAGTAACATATGAGTCTGTGTTTCAAAACTAGATTGCATGATCCTCTACATCTGTCTTCAAATGCAATTTAGTTAAATGCAGGAGCAAGTGGTTTTCTTACCAAAATGTTTGCTGCCTATCAGAGATGGTTTATTTATTTATGATCTCCTATAACCAAATGTTTAATCTTCCTACAAACTGTTACTAAAGCAATTCATTCAAAGCATTTTCATTTGTAAAAAAAAAAAAAAAGTAGAGAATGGGGGAGTCATGTCTCCAATACCTAATCCTTGCAATTTTCACTTTCCATATGTTAAACCTAGGTCTGTTCCAAATTGTTAAACAAACATTTTAAGCAAACAGGGCTGATTTTTAATTCCTGTGCTAAAAACACAGCTTGGTACGTAGTCATTGTTTAGTTTCAATTTTGCAATAAAATGAAATTTTAACATGCATATAAAAGGCATCATAGGTGGACGTGCTTTTGAAAAGCTTTGAGAAAACTGTATTTTGATAATATGCATTCTGTATCCCGCATCAGAAATCATAGCACCATACAATAGGTATGTATCTACAGTCATTATTGATTCAATTAGGATTGTAGATTCAATTCAATTAGAATTGGCAATGAGACCCATACAATTAAGTCAATTTGATTCAGATCTATGAACACCATAAAAAGGGGGGGGCTTTTGCTCATATGCAAATGTTCTTCCAAATTGTTGAACTGATTCACAGGCATTTCATTCAGATCATCAATCCTGACACCTGGTTTATTTCAGAAAGTTAAGCTATTAATTTTCAAATCAAATCTCAGATTTCAACTTCACATACGGATAATTAAGTACGTGTAGATAAAATAGATAAGCAAACTTGTCCTAAAAGGAAACTTTCCTCCAGTTTCAATAAAAAGAAAACATGCATCAAAAAGAAGTAAACCTAATGTCTCCCAACTATTTCCTTTCTTCAATGCTCCGTATTTTATTTTTGGTACTTTTTGGTATTTTTGGTAGTTGAAGCTTTCCTCTAGCTCATGGGTGCCCAACCTTTTGGCTTGTCTGAACTATATTGAACTACACTGAGTGAAGAGGAATTGTCTTAGGCTATGTATAAAATGTATAATAAAGTTAATGTATATAAATATCAAAAAATCACATAATAATGTTAAACATTTATGACCTCACTGTTATCACATTACTAGCTGTCCAGGGCCACATGCAGCCCTTGGCCTGGGGGTTGGATGTGCTTGCTCCAGCTGGTACCCTTCAGCTAGCTAGAAAAAAAAGTTAGCTACCCACTAGCTAGCTAAAAAAGAGATGTAATACAATACATGGGAAGGACACAGAGATAGGACACTGATGATACAAATCCAAGTAACTTGCATAAAACATCATTTACGTATTATGCTTGACTACAATCTATTATGCTTGACTACAATGGAAATAGTAGTTGTTTTAGCCCCTCGATGTTCAACAGACTATATCTGGAAATTGTTGAAGAAAGTGAATTCTGAATTCTGAAAGTGATTCTGAAAAATCCAGATTTTTCTCCCAATCAACTGTGCTTCTATGTTCCACCAGATCTCATCTCAGCTTTTTTTTAAAAAAAAATATGTCATTTGCATGCAAATGGCCCCACCAGGGCCGGATTTAGATGAAAAGAGGCCCTAGGCTATTCCACTTATGAGGCCCTTTCACCTATAGTGAAAGTGTAATTTTAATTTTGCTAACAATTTGAATGTAGGCCCCTCTTGATCTTGAGGCCCTAGGCTGAAGCCTAGTTAGCCTATAGGAAAATCCGGCCCTGGGCCCCACATTTATTCCCTGGGGCCTCCTAGTTCCACCTCCTGTCTTGGAAAGCTACTCATAGTAAGTTCGGGTCAGCCTTCCCACTGTTATTTCTTCCAAAGATTTGGAACAGATCAGATATTAGTTGCAGTGTAAAACATCTGGAGGATACCAGAATAGTTGGTGGCTAAACTGGTATAAAACATCTTCTTTTCATTCTGGATATTCTCAATAAGTGGTATGTCATATCGTGAAGCCATTCTAAAATAGGATTCCGTCTGGGGGAAGATAAAACTATTGAATGAGGGGACTGTTAATTAGCACTGAATCAAGAAAGCTGCCCATGGAATATTAGGAAAAATAAATAAATGTTCCTGCTATTTTTTATTTCCTTCTGAAAGCATTCTCAATCGGTTAGCTGCTAGAAACCTCCATGCTGCCATAAAGTACAGCTGGAACACTTTCAGACATTCAGATATAATCTTGAATATTTCTTGAACCTCAGAAAAAGATGACCTACCTGAAACCAGTCCAGGTAGTGTCTTTTTGTTTCCATCTTTCTTCCTTCCACAAGTTTTCAGCGCAGCAGCTTTCGGGAACTACAAAGCACAGGTATAAATGTTGAACAAATTACACATCCGGTTTTATGACAGCAAGCTCCCCTTCTTTTGTTGGCTTCTGTCCATTAAAAGCAATTTGGAAGGATCATCAGAACTTGAAAGGGCAGATCAAACAGCAGTGAAAATCGCAGCTGCATTGGCCCCAATTCAGAGCAAACTCTAAAGAGAGCTGATAATTTATTCCATTTGAGATATATAGATATTTTACAAGACTCCCTTTCTGCACATGGGTCTCCCTGCTTTTCTTTACGGTGCAAAAATTCAAACATGTCTTTAATTTTAAAAAAGTGTTTTATACATTAGTTGCAGAGGACATTTATTACGAATGTTGTACATATGTTTACATACATAATGATGTATTGTTCCAAATTTGGCTTTCATTTTAAATTGCATTTTACTTAGCAATTTCCATAACCATCAGGAGCAGTCAACTTCGAGAAGGTAAATTATCTTCCATAATTTCAGGCCTTTTCATTTTGCAGGTGGAGGGCAGCTGGGATGAGATTGGAAAGAAAACAACATTTAGACAAGAGTATTGGCTCTGTACTTTGGCGTCTGTGGTGCTCCAGCTGTAACCTGATGTTTCAAAATGGAGGGCAAGCTGAAGCAACTTAATTTAAGAGACTGAGGGCCATCAGCAATTGCTCCTTCAAAGTAACCAAGGAAATGGCTAGCAATATGCGCAGTGCTCCCAAGAGCAACGCTGAATCCCAACACCTGACTTTTACAAATACAAGAAAAATAATTTGCCTCCCAAATAGATCACACTTCAGTTGATACAATCTCCACAAATATATTCAGCTTTCGTATATATTGTTTTTTTTTGCTCAGCTTTCTTTCCCCCCCCTTTTTTTTTAATCAAAGTATTTTAGGAATGTCCAATAGAGATATAAAATTCTGAAGAATATCATCTCCATATGTAGCTGCTTTGCAAAGATTTAAAAAAGGAACAAGTAAAATGGCATGCATATAAAACTTCTGGTACAAATGCTTTGATTATATATGAGCAAAAGATGGGGGCTATTTTAAGTAACTGGGGTTTTTTGACATGACTGCTAGTAGTGGAGAAGACATCTGCTGACAGTTGAAGGTCATCTTTAACATTAGATTAGGAATAAATTCTCAGAGATGCTTTATCTCTATGCATGGTCTCCTGCTTCTGGCCTTATGCTGTGTTATATCCCACACACAGACAAATGCACAGAAGCATGCCCCAAAATATATTCTGTCTTGTTTTTCTTAAGCATTAAAGGGGATGCTGTGGCATTGATTATGTGATAGCCCTTTTTAACAAATCCTGATTGTTTCCTCAATTTTTCTGGCCTTCACATCTATAGAAATGTCTTTAAAAATCTATATTGTGATTGGTGTTGTTTAACTTATTCATAAATGAGCTAGCATTGGGAATGAGTATATGGTGATTTCAACAAATTATTTAGGATAATAAAGCCCCAAAGGAGCTTTAAACTGGTAGAATGGTAGCAAAATGACAATTCTATGTTGTTAAACCAGATATAAAGAGCAAACTATTTATATGCTCAGGCTCCAATGACTTTGTGTCAGTGATGCACAAAGGGAGAGTACTTGTATTCCCAAAATGGGCTTCACAGCTTCAAGAGCAAGTTTGGTGCAGTGGTGAAGGTGCCAGCCGAGAAACCAGGAGACTGGGAGTTGTAGTCCTGCCTTAGGCATAAAAGCCAGCGGGTGACTTTTGGCCAGTCACTCTCTCTCAGTCCAAGCTCACCTCACAGGATTGTTGTTGTTGTGGGGAAAATAGGAGGAGGAAGAAGTATTAGTTATGTTCACCACCTTGAGTTACTTATAATGTAATAAAGGTGGGAGAAAAAGAAAGAAGGAAGGAGGGAGGGAAGGAAGGAAGGAAGGAAGGAAGGAAGGAAAGAAGGAAGGAAGGAAAAAAGAAAGAAAGAAAGAAAGAAAGAAGGAAGGAAAGAAAGAAAGAAAGAAAGAAAAAAGAAAGAAAGAAAGAAAGAAAGAAGAAAGAAAGAAAGAAAGAAAGAAAGAAAGCTCCAAAATAGGAAACTTTACTCTCACTACAAACCCTTGGTATACCATTGTTACCATCTCTTAATGCTAAATTGAGTGGAATAAGACACATTGTCCATGATAAGGTAATGGTAGAGGTTCCCCTTGCACATGCTAGTCATTCCCGACTCTAGGAGGCAGTGCTCATCTCTGTTTCAAAGCCGAAGAGCCAGCGCTGTCCGAAGACATCTTGGTGGTCATGTGGCTGGCATGACTAAATGCCAAAGACGCACAGAACACTGTTACCTTCCCACCAAAGGTGGTCTCTATTTTTCTACTTGCATTTTTTACATGCTTTCGAACTGCTAGGTTGGCAGAAGCTGGGACAAGTAACAGGAGCTCATCCCATTACACGGCACTAGGGATTCGAACCATTGAACTGCCGACCTTTCAATCAACAAGCCCAGCATCTTAGCCACTGAGCCATTGTGTCCCCCTTGTGCCTGATAGGACATGCTAAAATACTGTTTCACTTTTCTGTGGATCTCTTGGGTCCCGTATCCAGTGTTTTGGTCCATCTCATGCAATCCATGGGCAGAACAAGTCTCTGTCTGAAGTACCAGCACTCTTTCATTAAAAAAAATAAGTTGGCCAATGGAAGGTTCATGTAAGACATATACAGGATATAGGGAAAGTGGATACTTAGATGTTTGGGGCCACTCAGTGAAGCTGAGTGATAGAAAATTCAGGGCAGGAAAAGAAGGAAGAAAGCATTTCTTCCCTCAGTGATCTGTTTGAATCACAATCAGATGTTGGATTAATAGGTATCAAAAAGGGATTGACATCTTCATGGAGCATGGATAAGGTTACTAACCATGATGACACAATTATTATTTTTCAATACCATTTACTAGAGAATGTGATCTGAAGAATGTTTTCATGCTTATGTCCTACTTGTGGATTTCTCAGAGACTTTTGACTGAGCACTGAAGGCATAGTTAGCATCATACTTCATAGATTTCAATTGGTCATTTCATGTTAAATCAGCCAGTTTGGTGAAGTAGACAGGACCTGGTTGGGCCAGGAGGGGGGAGCCCCCCTTGTTGATATGTGCCCACCCAGTTTCCGTGCATTCCATCAGCCAAGGTCACAGGGGAGGGGCGGAGTGGTAGCGGTTGTCATTAACGAGGGTCTTGGACTGAGGGAGGCCACTGTTCCTCAGACGGCTGGATGTGAGTCCCTCCTTGTGAAGTGGGGTCATAGGGTGCAGTTGGGCTTGCTAGTCACGTACCTGGCTCCCTGCCACATGGCAGCAGCCCTGCCCGAGCTGCTCGACGTTATAGCCACGGTGGCGGTTGACACCCCCAGGCTTATGGTCATGGGGGATTTTAACCTGCCATCAGTCGGCGAGACGTCTGAGGCGGCTCGGGAGTTCATGACGGCCATGGACCTGACCCAGTTAATTTATGGCCCTACTCACATGGGGGGACACACACTGGACCTGGTTTTTGTCTCTGGACAGTGGTTGAGTGATCTTGAGATAGGGGATATAGCAATTGAACCCTTGTCATGGTGAGATCACTCCCTCCTTCGCCTGGACCTTCAAACCGCCACACCCCGCCACAGGGAGGCGGAACCGACCAGGTGGTTCCACCCCAGGCGCCTGATGGATCCTGATAGGTTCCAGATGGAGCTTGGGCCATTTCCTGAGGTTCTGGCACACGACTCGGCTGAGGACTTAGTAGCCGCCTGAGATAGGGCGGCTGCTGGGGCTTTGGACCGAGTCGTGCCTTTGCGGCCTCTGACCCGGCGCCGGTCTCACCTGGCTCCTTGGTATACTGAGGAGCTGAGGAAGATGAAGCACCAGAAAAGACGCCTAGAGAGCAATTGGAGGGCTAGTCGTTCTGAATCCGACCGGACACTGGTAAGATCTCATATTAAGGATTACCTAGTGGCGATAAAAGTAGAGAAGAGTAACTACTTTTCTGCTCTTATTGCATCATCAGATAATCACCCAGCCGCCCTGTTTAGGGTGACCCACTCCCTGCTCCACCAGGGGGCACGGGAGGACCCCTTGGAGGGTAGAGCTGAGGATTTTGTACAATATCTGTATGACAAAATCGCTCAGATTCGGGAACAGCTGGACTCTGATTGGGTAGATCCAGGGGAGATGACAGGGGCAGGTCCTGAAAATATTATATGGGAAGAGTTTGATCCTGTGACTCCCGAAAGCATGGACAGGATACTGAGCAGACTGAGTGCGGCCACATGTTTATTGGATCCATGTCCCTCCTGGCTGGTGCTGGCCTCCCGGGAGGTTACACGAGGCTGGCTCCAGGGGATTATAAATACTTCTTTGAGTGAGGGTGTCTTTCCCGCTGCCCTGAAAGAAGCGGTGGTGAGGCCCCTCCTCAAGAAGCCCTCCCTGGACCCGGCTGTGTTAGCAAATTATCGTCCTGTCTCTAACCTTCGCTTTGTTGCGAAGGTTGTTGAGAGTGTGGTTGCACGACAGCTGCCTCAGTACCTGGATGAATCGACTTATCTAGATCCATTCCAGTCGGGCTTCAGGCCCGGGTACAGCACGGAGACGGCATTGGTCGCATTGGTTGATGATCTCTGGAGGGCTCGGGACAGGGGTTGCTCCTCTGTCCTGGTCCTATTAGACCTCTCAGCGGCTTTTGATACCATCGACCATGGTATAATGCTGTACCGGTTGGAAGGGTTGGGGGTGGGGGGCACTGTTTTACAGTGGTTCTCCTCCTTTCTCTCCAACCGGTCTCAGTCTGTGTTGACAGGGGGGCAGACGTCGACCCCGAGGCCCCTTGTATGTGGGGTGCCGCAAGGATCGGTCCTCTCGCCCCTTCTGTTCAACATTTATGTGAAGCCGCTTGGTGAGATCATCTGTGGTTTTGGGGTGAATTACCATCAGTACGCTGATGACACCCAGCTGTACATCTCCACCCCAGACCACCCCAATGATGCCCTCGAGGTGATATCCCGGTGCCTGGAGGCCGTACGGATCTGGATGGGGAGGAACAGATTCAGGCTCAACCCATCCAAGACCGAGTGGCTGTGGTTTCCAACGTCCCGATATAGTCAGTTGGCACCATCTCTGACTATTGGGGGCGAGTCGTTGGCCCCCACAGATGGGGTTCGCAACTTGGATGTCCTCCTGGACTCACGGCTGTCTTTAGAAGAGAATATGGCGGCCGTGGCCAGGAGGACTTTTTATCAGGTTCGCCTGATTCACCAGTTGCGTCCCTTTCTGGATCGGGACTCGTTACACACGGTCACTCACGCCCTTGTCACCTCACGCCTGGACTATTGCAATGCTCTCTACATGGGGCTCCCCTTGAGGAGCACCTGGAGGCTCCAACTGGTCCAGAATGCGGCCGCGCGGGTGGTGACGGGAGCGATGTGGCGCTCCCATGTGACCCCCTCCTGCGCGAGCTGCACTGGCTCCCAGTGGTCTTCCGGGTGCGCTTCAAGGTTTTGGTTACCACCTTGAGA